AAGCATGAATGCGAGAGGCATTCCAAGGGCTATTCCATATTCCTTAGCATGGAGAGGCAGGGGCATGTTAAAAATCAACATAGGGGACTTTCTGCCTCTCCTGTTTCCCCTGGATTTTTTTAATGCAGCCTCAGTCTGGCTAAAAGAGAATATTATATTAAAACAATACCTCAACAGTAACTTTAGAAAAGGATCAAACCGTTGGGCGTATGTATACCTCAGCAATAGGTCACCAATGAACCAGCCATCTCCTATTGCTAGTGTGTCTTGCACTTTGGTTTGCTTCCCAATTGTCCATGGAGAACAAATGATGAGGGGGTAGAAGAGGTAAACAGAGACATCTGCTCATGCCCATTTCTAACCAACACAATCTCCTACTCAGTCACGGGGGAGAGTGTGGATTCTGACAGTGAGTCAGAGCCAAAGGGAGGCGGTGTGAGAGGTGGCTTCGGTTTGGTCTATGGAAGGAGGCAGCTGTGACTCAAACACTGCATACTGATGAGCTGGAGCAATTTCTCTATTTTCCCTCCTAATTAAAGGGGGGGTTGCTCTCCAACGAGTCCGCTGTGGGTTGTATGTTGTATACTGTGGCTCCAGCAAGCTAAATGCTCTACTACAAGAAGGCGAAAAGTGGGATTCCCCTCAGAAAGAGCAAAGCTACAGAGTGTTTAAACTTAACTTTCTTCCCAGTCCTTGCCCTCTTTCTGTTCTCCAGTGTTGTTCAGTTCTGGAAGATACAGAAGCCCTGATTTAGAAACTGAAAACCAAATGACCAACCTCAATGATAAGATGCGATAAAATACACATTATATGCAGTATCAAGGTGAAGCTTCTATATACCTGTGAGGTAGAGAAGTATTGATGGCGAAAGTTTATGCTACATATACTAGTCAATAAATGGGAGCTCCACACAAGAATACAATGTGCACATAACTCATTTATATTTCTAGGGTAATCGTTCATTGGACAATACAACTTTCATTTGGTTGGGTAGCAATGGGTAAATCTACACTCGCAAGCAGTGTACAGCGGGAGAATATAATCAATGCACTGTGTAAAAAGAACTCATACATATGCACTGGTGCCTCTTAAGAATTTGTCTGTCATCTCTGAAAGCTCTAATTTTGTTATGGTCCACTAGGCTCTAATTACAAATATTTCCTAGAATGGTTCTAAAAATCACTCATTATTTTGGTCTTACTAGTGGGAGATGATTTACAAACGTATCTGAATAAACTTGCAGAAACCATTTGTTCCTGCTTCTATGCTGACAACAATATTATTAAAATAAATTTATTACAAAACTATAGTTTAATTTACATAATTACTATAAATATAGCTTTTATGAGGGTGGTAGTGGACTGATATGCTTTCATTTTAAAATTAGCTAGATAGCCTGGCATATGCAGGAAAAGTCACTCCACACACAAAAAAATCCTCTCTTCGTGTGGTGTAGATGAAGCTTTTCCTTAATATTCATCTGGTCTGTGATAGATGGCTCTGACAGAAAAACTATCGGAGTGAATCTCCACCATGACGCTACTCGACAGACAGAAGGAAAATGATGGAAAGTATGATATTATTCGCAAATTAATATACAAACAGTACAAGTATCTATGCAATGCATTCCTTATTCTGCTCTCCTGAAATCAAAGTGAGTTTTGCTGTTGGCTCAAACAGCACCTTTCTCCTTGAAGCACTCAGCACCATGAAGGATATAGTCCTTTCAGTTCTGCATGGAAAATTCAGTATCAGCTATTTATGCAACAGAAACAGTATGACTGCCATGAATAATGAAACATTTTATGCTGAATCAGTCACAACTTCTCTGAAAGCTTCTTGCTGCTTTCTGCTGGTCATTATGTGGAGAGGTTCCAACTCCTTCATTCCACTCTGTCACTGCATCCTTGCAAACAGCCAGCACTGTTTCAGCAACTGTCCTAAGTCCCTCCCAGTACTCAATCCATTCAGTGGTGACAGCCTGTGCCCCTAGCAGGTTGGGGCAAGCAAGGAGGGTTCACCTGTTTGGGCAGCATTTGCTGGATGCTGACAACCAACCCATAGGTGGATAAGTGGGTACCACAGTTGGATCTAATTCACAAGTTGCCTGTTTAACTGTGCTCCTCTGTCATATGATTGATTACCTTATGCTTTCTGTACCAACAACGTTTGTCCATTCTTTTAATTGCAAAAATTATTTTAAAGCAGCTTTCAATCTTCAGAGGGCAGATAGGCTTTCTAGAAAGACGTGAAAGCCTTTGAACAGGCCAGAAACATACCATGAGGCTTTCGCTCCACAGAAGAATTTGCTCCCAGTACATCAAAATACAGCATTCATAGCTAAGAAAGAGTGATGGAAGATAGTGGTATTTTGTCCCTAGAAGGGCAATTATGAAATATGATGCATTTCAGCTGAACACACATTTTATATCAGTTTCCTACAGCCTGTCTTCAATGCTTCCAGAGCTATACTTTCTGAAAAGAGTAAAGAGTATATACTCTTTACTACTGTAAAGAGTAGGCAGTACTTTTTCTCCTCTTTCATATATATGAATACCTTGGTTTTGGCTTCCTGGATTCTGGGTTAGAGATCATATTTAGCATATGGAAAGCTTTTAAATATGGATTGCATAATACTGAATACGTGTATTAAAGCATGAACTTCCTCTTCCTTGCATTTGTATGTGTGTGCATGAGTGATTTTCTTGCACCACACTGCAGCTAGATCCTTTGTAACTTAAAGCTAAACCTAGTAACATCATTCACTGCAGCAGCAAGATACTTTCCCCTAGAGTAGGAGACAATGATGATGACATAATGCTGTGGTTTCCAAATCCCAAACCAGCTGTTACCGGTATATGCATTCAAATTCACTGTCTCTGTGTCTATGTAAGAGGCACAAAAGCTTGTGACTCGATTCAGTAAATGATTTATTATTTCAAATGTATAATTCAGGGACATAGCTTACGCATGGCTTCAGCCACAGAGTGGGGAAAAGTAATTTAGGCAGTTTCCGACTGTAATAAAACAGAGAAAGGACATAATCCATCTCCACAGACCCGACAGGTATTTTCCACCAACTAGCATGGGATCTGCTCACTGATTTTAGTCTGGGGGAACAACTAAAAGCTGCCAGTTTTTTTAATTGTTTCTTCTCTCTGACAGACATTCATACTAATTCCTTTACCTGCTATAAACAAACACAGCTGGGCATCAATCCCCTAACCCAAACTGCACCATGAAACACAGTACTTATTCAAGTATTACCTATTCAAGTAAAACTGCTGCCATGCCTATGGATACCACAGGAAGCTAAGATTCTCCTGTGCTGGCTGTGCATAACATTCAAGAATATTAGCTCAATAAGTGAAGGTCAGCTTTAAAATCATTTCTCAACAGTCTAAAAAAAAGAATACCACAGAAGCAACTTGAGACCTATGAGAAAGCTTTTTCCACTATAGTAAGTTGCTTTGATGGAGTGCAAAATCCATCTCTGCATAAATCACTCATTTGCAAGGCAAAGTCGGGATACATCAATTGATAGTCTTACTTTAAATCCAGACTAAATCAGACCTCTGAAACTCTTAACCTAATCCCTGCCCTCTGTACTATGTCATCGTGGCAATTTGTTGCCAGGGTTACAGTATTTATTTACTCAAAGTAAAGCCAATGTGAACAACTGCCCTGAATTTTATCAGGAAAAATGCATCCCTAGTGTAATTCCATTATCTGAGTGGTCTTGCGTCAGGGACGAACTTAGCTTATTAAGTTTTGGCACAACACTATCAGTGAGGACAATATCTGCTCAAGCTATATTATCTTCATTTGTAGAATGACACTGAAACCACTGTGCTTGTAATCAACCATTTCTTTATGTGCATCTTTTTTTAAATGTACAGGCAGCCAGAGAAATAAAGAGCTAAACTGTAGCATAAGTTGTCCAAATATTCCAAAATTCAAGGACTTCTCATAGAAAATAAAGGGAAAATCTTGGTCAGAGATTTAACGAGTTCTTCAGAGAGGAGATGCAATCATGCACTGAATGTGAATCATGATCCACGAGATTTTTTGTAGCCAAGTAATTGATAATCAATCCGTACAGTTACAGTTGCATCAATCAATCATGTATCTGCAACGGCCCATAACAAACAAGACAGCAGAAGTCACAAAAGATCATTGCCAGTCCTATCTCCATGACAGACTGATTTATTAAGCTGAGAAATTGCCCTGATGTAAACAAAAACTTTTCAGGGTAATCTAGACCAGGAACACTTCAGAAAAATGAAAGGGTTGTGCAGAGCTTATACAGATAAGCCCTTCTGTTGCTCTGCTCGTTTAACTAGAAAGGCTATCAACAGTTACTGTAAGAGAGCTTGAAAAAGCCGGGAGAGGTGTGTGAAAAAACAGAACAAAAAAAACAAACCCAGGCTGATCCAAAATCCCTCTTCAGGAAATTACAACAATTTTACAAAATCTGCACAGCCA